GCCGGCTTCTCCCTCTGCCTCTGCCTGCCATTCTGTCTGCCTGTGCTCGCTCTCTCTCCCTCTCTCTGACAAATAAATAAAATCTTTAAAAAAAAAATACCTCACAAAGCTGGGCTATTGTTATCCTCATTTTACAGATAAGAAAATTGAAGCTTAGTAAATTTAAGAAAGTTATTCAAGGAAGACCACACAGTTAATAATAACAGAGGTAGGATTCAATATCAGGTAAACAATTCTCAGCTTATTCTTTCAACCACTCAGCTTTCTAGTTTCCTATACTTTGGATAATGTGTAAAATTTAAACTTCCTCTCTAGTACAATTATGGATGGTTGTACATATCATGGACTTTTCTGGTCAAAACTGCAAATATTAAGTTGGTAAATGCTAAAGGTCCACTTTATTGCCCCCCATTTTCTAGATGAGAAAAAGAGATTTAGAGAGGTCTTATACGGAAAAAGTGTCTGAGCTTAGATCTTGAAACAGGGGTCCAAGTCCATATCACACTGACTAAAGATCTTTTTAACCCTATTAAAACACAGTCATGGTGAAAATATCTATTCACATTTATGGAATACATTTAACAGTATTACTGATAGTTACAGTTATAGTGGTGAACATCATCACTAGCTCTTAAATTATACAATATGACTTTGACTATATGGCTTTAAAAAATAGTCTAAAATATAGAAATGTTTGTGAATGTAATTTTTTTGAAATGTAAAAAAGAAAGAAAGAAATGTCTTAAGATTTTGAAAGACATTTCTAAAATTTTTATTTATTGATTTATTTGAGCAAGAGAGAAAGCATGAGAGAAACAGGGGGATGGAAAGAGACAAGCAAACTCTGAACTGAGCATGGAGCCTGATGTGGGGCTCAATCTCAGGACCCTGGGATCATGACCTGAGCTGAAATCAAGAGTAGGATGTTCGATGGATTGAGCCCCCCAGGCACTCCTTGGACATTTTGAGATACACTTTTTATTTTGGAGAAATTTTAGATTTGCAGAAAAGTTGCTTAAAAAACCCTGAGAGTCTACATGTACCCCTCCCTGTTTCCCCATTACACTGCCAGTGTACATTATCATCACACATTTATCAAAACTGAGAAACTGACATTGGAAGATTATTGGTAACCAAACGACTGACTTTATCTGGATTTTCCCAAACATTTTCATTAGTGTTTTCTTTCTGTTCCAGAATCCAATCCAGGGTACCACACTGCATTTAGTTGTCATGTCTTCCCTGTCTCCTCTGGTCTGTAACAGTTTCTCAATCCTTCATTGTTCTTCTTCAGCTTATGTTGAAAAATACCAGAATGTCCCCCCAGCCTGGGTTTTCCTGATGTTTTTTTCATGTTTTGACTGGGGTTATATTATGAACATTCTAAAGTGGAGGGATTAAAAAATATAACAATAATAAAAAAAATGTATAAGGAAAAGCAACAAGCTTCTGACCTACACCAGTCCTGGCAATTTTTTAAAATGTGAATCTCACCTAAAAAAGGTAATTAATTCAACAAAAATTTCTTAAGCACCTACTATGTACTAGACACTATTCCAGGCACAGAGAGTATATTAAGGACAATCAGCCTAGACTGAATGGTTGTGAAAGGCCTCTTGGAGGAGGAAACATTTGAAAGGCCCAAATGACAAGATAGAACTAGACAAGAGCAGAGATTTGGGAGAAGAACATTTAGGCAAAGGGGTAACTAGTGCAAAGGCTTTGTAGCACAGAGTAAACAATGTATTTGAAAAGCTTCAATAAGGGCAGAGTGACTGGGTCATTGGTATCAGAGGAAGAGGGGTAGATGAGATGAGCAAAGTGGCCAGGGGGTAGCTGGCACTGGACTTTGTAGGCCATGGCAAGGAATATGGATGTTATGCTGAGTAGGACAGAAAATCTTTGCAAGGTTTTAACTAAGATAAGATTTTAACTAAGAACTATATGTAATCTTATATACTTTAAAAAGCTCACTCTGGATGCTTTGCAGAGTATGAAATTTAGGGGTAAGAGTTGTAGCTAGGAGCCCTGTTAGGAGACAATAGCAGTAGTCTGGGCAAGAAAAGATGATGGTTGAGGTAGGATGGAAAGTAGTGGATATAAAGAGAACTGGTTGGATTGAGATATGTTTCAGAAGATGAAGGGACAGCATTTAGTAATGGATTGAATGTGAGGTAAAGATTCTCAAGTTTTGGGCACCTGGGTGGCTCAGTCAGTTAAATGACTGCCTTTGGCTCAGGTCATGATCCTGGGGTCCTGGGATCAAGCCCCACATCGGGCACCTCCTGCTCTGTGGGGAGCCTGCTACTCCCCATCTTGTGCTCTCTCTGTGTATCAAATAAATAAATAAAATCTTCAAAAAAAAAGATTCTCAAGTTTTCAGCTGGATAAACTGAATTGATGATGGTGCAATTTATTGAGGGAGAGAACTGGCAGAGCGTATGTTGCGGAAGGAAGATGGGGAGGCTCGGAAATAAAAAATGATCTGTTTGGATCAAATTAAGTTTGAAGTGTTTCAAGTCATCACAAAGGTAGATGTAAGTTTGGCATCCACAGGAGAAGTCAGCGCTGAAGACATAAAATCCATGTATAAAATAAATGCATATGCATGTAATATTAGTAACTTAATTTACTAGGAAGAGTGGCCTTATATCAATATTTGCTCATTTATTTATTAATCAATTCATTGATTCATATACTTATTCCGCAAATATTTATTGCAGAACAAACCTATGAGGCTTTGGTACAGCCATGCCAATGGCTTCCAAAGAATACAATCAGAGAAGGTGGAATATGGGGGAAAAATATTGGAATTGAAATTCAGGGATTTCTTCATTTTCTTTCACTTTACTATATTGTGATTTATTACAGTTTATGTGTGCTGGGTTAAGTAGATTTGCCAGTTACATTATTATTCCATTAAATGGACCCCTTACTAAAATGAAAATAGCTAAAAGATTGGAGATAATACTGCAAACAAGCAAAGAGGTGATAAGAGGTGATAGTCTACTTCCAGCATGAGCTGTACAGGAACCATCTTATTAAGCAGAGGGGATAAAACTTTGAAATCAGAGATTTAGAAATATTTCTATTATGGGATTTTGATGCAAAAATGATGTTTATGTGCTACCTAAGGCCAAGACAAAAAATGGTAAGGTAAGTGAGGCATTAACCTTGGGTGCTAAATTTAAGGGGGCAGCCAAACTCAGTAATCAAGATAAAGAATATCTTAATACCATATTTTAAAGATTCAAAATTAATTCAAAAATCTATGAACAAAATTTTAAATAAAGACAAGATCAGTACCCTAAAAAAAAAAAAACAACCTTACACATGTGCAATAAAATTTGAAGGCAGAATTTTCCCAAGTTATTGAAAACTCCTCAAAGTAACGCATTCCAAAGAGTTCTGAACCCATTTGTTAAAAATATAAAAATGCAACATTTTCTGGCTGACATCAGGGCAGATAGAAAGTTAGTAGTTGAATTTCAATAAAAACCTTTCAGGATTGGTGGATGGAAGAGATAAAAATGGATTCTTGCATTAGTAAGAGCAGCCAAAGATGTACTTCTTCCATTAGGATCTACATATCTTTGTAAATTATCTTTTTCAGCTTATGACAGCTATTAAAATGAGGTACAAAAATAACCTGAACGTTGAATCAGACAATTTAGTAACTGCTTTGCAAAGTTTTAAAGATTTTAAAAACCATTGAAACCTAGTCAATCATATTTCTTCCACTAAATATTTTTAGTTAGCATAACAATTCTTTATAGCATTAATATAAAAAATAACTCTTACAGTTACTTTAAAATGTTTATTTTTTTATCTTATCCTTTTTATATTTTAAAAAGTGTTTTTCCGTCACAAGTAGCAAGACGTCTATACAATTTACATAAGTATATAGACTTACAGAGTTGTGTTTTGTTTTTGTTTTTTTTCTTTCGGTACTAGGGGCGTGCAATCAGAAAAAGTTTGGAGAGCACAAGGACAGGTAGGTGATCCTGTGGGTGTTAGGAATATGGAAAGATTATTTTATCTCAGCATGATGTGAAATCACTGTACCCACGGAAGTCTTCAGGAGGGACACCCCACCGAGTCTTCATAAGGGAGGGTTTAATGAGTGAGATTTGGAAAAATAACTATTGCGTTATTTGTTTCGTATAAAACAGCACAATGCTTACAGTCAGAGATTTAAGTACTCTGAAACATTCTTAAGGAGTTTGGTACAGTTCAAACTGCAGCCCTACTCTCAGAAGCGATCTCAGTCCCAGGCTGGAACCTGTTGGAGGAGGAAGTTCCCATACAGGGGACAGGAGAGTGCCGCTCTAATGGAGAGAGTGTGTGTGTGTGTGTCTGTGTGTGTGTTGTGGGGAGGGGGGGGGTGGAGAAATGACACCGTTTCTCCGAGGCGAGGGCTGCCGCCTCCCCTCCCAGGAGATGGCTTTGAGGTGCCTGGAGCCGGGCCGTCAGGAGTGCAGGCAGAGGGGGGTGAAAAGAAAACGCAGTTCCCTCTGGCTGGGGCCGCGTCCGAGCCCGGAGGCCGGGAGACCGCCCGTGACGCTTTCTCTCCCAGGAGAGGCCAGGGCTTTGCGAAGAGGAGATGGAGTTAAGACGCTCTTCTAACGGGAAGGGAGGGCAGTGCTGGTTGGCGGTAAGGTCAGAGAAGGAGCTTTCGGCTCGTCTTTCCCTGGTGGGCAGAGTCCGAAGAGCCCAAGAAAGCATGGAGGGGTCTGAGGCCTGGTCCTTCCCTGCCGGCAGAGGGACTCCCGAAATGGACTGTCCAGAATCCCTCCCGTGAAAGGCGTTTGTTTGCATGACCGCTCAACCAATTTTGTACATCCCGGGGCTTAGTAAGAGCTGAGGTAATTAGAGGCGAGCGACAGCTGCCTCGGCACCTTGGGCGCCTAGCGCCGGGCTCGGAGCCCGACGGCTCGAATTCTCGCGAGAGCGGCCGCCGCCATTTTTCCATTGATTGCAGCGGGCTGGGGGAGGGGCCGACGACGAAGGCGACGGCGGCGGCGGCGGCGGCGGAGCAGCGGTGGGTCGGTGTCTGCGCGCTGGTGTCTGAGGCCCAGGCTGAGGCCTCCGCGGTTGCCGGAGCGCAGGCGGCGGAGAGGATGACTGCCGCTGCTGTTCTCTTCTGAGATAGAGAGCCGCCACCACCCTGCCCCCTCCCCCGGCAGGGCGGAGAGGAGCGGCCAGAGTCTGAGCCATGGTGCCTGGCGAGGAGAACCAACTGGTCCCGAAAGAGGTGAGGGGCCAGCGGAGGAGGCTAGGCCCGAGGCCTGTGTCCGCTCGAGGCAGTGCAGGCCCGGGCGAGGGGTCGGCTGCTGGCCCAGCTCGTGTGCGGGCCCGGCTGTGGGGGGAGGAGGAGGTGTGTGGTGGGGGCCGTACGGTGGGTGCGGCGAGCAGTTGGGAGACCCGACTGGATCTAGGGGCCGGGGGAGGGGGAACCGAGACCGCCCCTCTCGGGTTTGTCGGGCCGGACGGATAAAGGAGCGGACTGGAAGGAATCAGGTCCAGCTTTGGGGGAGAAGGTGGCCTTTTAAGTACTTATTTAACATGTCGAGCCAAGATAATTTCAAAGAAAGATTTCTGTAACAGTTGTTGATGGGCACGACAGGGTGACGGTGCTGCTTCTGGTTTTGACAGTGGCAGTGTGTAGCTTTCAGGGCTTGTGAAATCTACACCCAACTTGAGAACTGTGGGAGGGCAGAGTTAACTGTTAGGACTTTTTTGAACTCCTGTTACTTGGTAATCCTGTTGGCTTGCCTAAATGGGGCCTATGGAAGATCGTTGAAAAAGTAAATGTGACTTTCACGGAAAGGTGAGAGATAGCTAAACATTACCATATGGAGAGCTGAACTACTTTTTGTAGCTGGGTTGTGTATGCTAGTTTGGGTGACTTCTTGAATTCTTTAAAGCAAGTGATATGAGAAGCCTTAACTTCTTGGCTTCTCTTGAATAGTAGTAGAAGATTAATGGTAGAATCCAGCGCTGGCCAGTGAATTTCAATATATTAATAGTATCCCTGTTGGCTTTATAAATATCTTCAGCGTATCCAAATGTGTATTTTTAACTAGTTGATCATCAGGCTAATGCTTTGGATTTTTATTTCTCATATACCTTAAATAGAGGCAGTGTCCTGTTGAAATGAGCTGTGTAGAACCTTGATGTTTATAAGCGATATCCATTAAACATTCTTATTTTTTGGTTTTTGTTTTTTAGATGCTTTGTAGCAATTTATTGCTACTTAAGCAAGCTCTGACACTGCAAAAGTGATACTGGAGTCATGTATCTGATAAAATATTTTTCCTACATTATCAGATGGCAGTTGTTTTGCAAGGACAGTTTTTTTTTTTTTTTTAACTTGGCTATTGTGTGTCAGTATTTATTCATCGAACATCACCAACTCTGTGCAAGGCAGATAAACAGATGAATTAGAGTTCTTGCCATGGGAGCTTTCAAAGCTACTAAGAGTGCTGGTAATATTCGTTGAGCTTCACTTAAAGGAGAGGTATTTTACTACATACGTACGTAACTCTTACGAAAGAACAGAAGTGATAGGTGCTGTAAGAAAGATAAACATGCATTTCCATTTAAAGCTACATATTGCTGGTTTTCATACAAAAAGCAAAGTTAGTCCTTTCTTAATTTTTTGATTGTTAGAATAATACAATATAGGTGAAATTCTGCTTTAAGAAAATGCAACATCAGATTTATTTCCCTAATAATTTGATGTCTTAAAAAAACCCATGATATAAATACGCAGCTTTGCAGAAAAATATCAGTTGTGTAAAAACCAATACTGTAATACTGCTTTTACTTTTTGGATTTTAAAGATTAATTGCCTCTCCTTTAAGGCTAACTCCCTTACCTGAGGTTTCAAGCACTTCGCAACTTTTTTTTTCTTTTACATTTTTTGGAACATATGTCTTCCCCCCCCCCCCCCGCCCCATTCTCTAGATTGGTCTTCAGGCTGTTCTTTTTCCTTGGCTCTTCTCATGATTCCTGGAAGCATGCACAGTGGTCTCAAGTCTTAAGACTATTACTTGAAGTTTTGCCTTTTTTAGCTTGTTCACTAGTTCTTTCTTTTTTGATGACCATACTCCTCTTGCTGAATTTTTCTTTATTTTAGTAATTTAGTTGTTTAGTAATATTGTACTTTTTTGGTCTTTTTCCTACCTGCTTTTCTTATCTGCCTGCTTATTTAGTCAGTATCCTTTTTATGTCCTTAATTACCACTTTTCTCTTTGTCATACCCTGTCTTTTTAAGTTGGAGTTGAATCATACAGTGCTAAAGGGAGGGTATAGTGATCATCTAGTAACTTAATCCCTTTTACTTTACAGATGAGGAAATTAGGGCCAGAGGATTGAAAGTGACTTGTTTAGGGGGCTTTTGGGTGGCTCAGTGGGTTAAGCCTCTGCCTTCAGCTCAGGTCATGATCTCAGGGTCCTGGGATTGAGCCATGCATCGGGCTCTCTGCTCGGCAGGGAGCCTGCTTCCCCCTTTCTCTCTGCCCGCCTCTCTGCCTACTTGTGATCTCTCTGTCAAATAAATAAATAAAATCTTTTAAAAAAAGTGACTTGTTTAGGGTCACGTAATGAGTAAATGACAGTGTAAGGGCTAGAACTCCTATCCCTTCACTATTCCTTGATTATACCCTATTTTATAGTTACCTTCGTATAACTTGGAGGGTGTGTAAGACTAGTTTGTAACTCTCTAAGTACATTTACTATGGGAAAATAAATTGCAAAATTAAAACAAAAATTTGCTTCGTTCTAATGGCTTATTATCAACAGATATAGGGTTTTATTGTTTTTTTGTTTGCTTAGGACCTTTGTATAGGGAACCCTGACCCCTGCTAGATTTAGATCTTGCTTAGGTGTGTGCATTCATGTATGTGTGTAGTTGTTGAATGAATAATATATTATTTTGGTCCCTGAAGCTCAAGGACAGATACATCTTAGAGGACTCCAAAGAGGGCTGCTTAGTGTACTACAGGTATCATTGCCTGTTTTTGTATGGCCCATGAGTTAAGAATGTCTTTTACATTTCCAAATTATAAAAGATGAGTAGAATAATATTCCATGACACATGAAAATATATGAAATTCAAATTTCAGTATTCATAACGAAGGTTTTTTTTTTTTTTGAAAGATTTTATTTATTTATTTAACAGGCAGAGATCACAAGTAGGCAGAGAGGCAGGCAGAGAGAGAGAGGAGGAAGCAGGCTCCCCGCTGAGCAGAGAGCCTGATGCAGGGCTTGATCCCAGGACCCTGGCATCATGACCTGAGCCGAAGGCAGAGGCTTTAACCCACTGAGCCACCCAGGTGCCCCATAACAAAGGTTTTATTGGAACACAGCCATGCCCGTTTATTTACTATTGTCTGTGGCTATAGCAGAGTTGAGTAGTTGCTACAGATGCTGTATACAGGATAAATTTGAAACTACTTAGTTTGTATTCAAGGCCTAGTACAGTTGATTCTGGCCACAACCTTCCTTTTCAGCTTATCTCTTCTCCCATGAAACACATTTTTAATGCAGCCAAATGGGGTTCTCTCTCACTTGCTTTTCACTTCTTTTTGTACTATCCCTGCTTTCTACTTATCTGTTCAGAACCTTCATATACATTTTTCCATAAATACCCTATACCTTGTTTATTCTAAAAATCTTTTTATGACCATTTTAACCTTAGGGATTTCTCCTTCTTTGAAGACCTTTTATGTGACTAGGATTTATTTGGCAATTATTAATAAATAGTGCTTGATGACATATATGATGGTCCCAAACTGTAATATCCATTTTATGTAATGTTATGAATTCCTTGGTAGCAGAGATGTGTATGTGTTTCTCTCAATTTTCTGTATTTGTATACGCTCTAGGTCTAGGACAGAACCCTTTCTAGAGCAGATATTCAGTAATATTTATTGATGCGGTTACAGGGTGTGAAGAAACTTAGAATTCTAGCCAATTATCCCATACTTGGATGTTTTCTGCAGGACAGTTCATTGGCAAGCTGTTTTCCAACTCTTGCTTGGACACCTTCATGGCTAATCTCTGATAACATCTTTGTCTTAGAAGAGATCTGTTATTTTAAGTTTCTGAGCTGAAAGAAGTCTAGACCTCTGACCTGCCATCTTTTGATAATTGCCTTGGACAACAGAGAAATCTTAAATCATTTCCCATAGGACAGCTTTTTCTTATTGTTGAAAATGGGAGAGGGGAGGAGGGGGGCCAGCCCCCTCTGTTCTACAGTCTGTGGATTCTTAGTTCTTTACTTGTTTCTCACTTGCTCTCTTTTAGGCATAATCCAGTGTTTTTAGTATCCCTCCTAAACTGTTAGAGCCAGAGAAGAGCAAAGGGAGTGTGGTCTATTCATTGTGGTTCATAACAAAGCTTTTTACCTCACTATTTCATTCTACTCTGTGTCTTTGAATTGTATTGATACTGGCTTTCAGGTCTCTTGCTTTTACTGTCATCCCAATTTTTATTTATTGCTTTGTTTTTATTCTCTTTTTAAGGATTTTTGATACTAATATTTATTGAGTCTTCATTGTGCATATTACTGTACTGTGCCATGTAAGGAACATTTTGAGGAAATAGCAAAAATTTATTCATCTCTCAAGTATCTTAGAGTATAATTCAGGATAAGGTACATCTAATTGTTTTAAAATAGTACTTTAAGTGATGTCCACAGAATATATAAACGTAGAGAAAATGGAAAAGTGGAAGAAAAGACAAAAGAGTAGTTTCATATCTCAGGTTTCTTTCTGCTCCTTTTCCATGCCATAAACAGTTTCTATATGAAACAATGGTGATGATAGTAATAACCAGTATTTATTAAGCCCTTATTATATGTCAGATACTGTTATATGTGCTTCCTGTATGTTAACTCGTTTGAGCTTCACAGTGACCTCACAAGTATATAAAGACCATTAATGTTGAGAATCCCAAAACATTAAAGCAAATTGTTTTTTATCTCTATTGTCTGGTTTTTAATAAAATCCATCAGGATTTATTATGGTTTGTATCAAATGAATATTCTTTTATGTCTCCTAATTAAATTACTTAAGGAAATGTGCTACATTGGTCTTTCTTGTTTTTGATCATTCTTTTAAAATTGGGCTTTTTAAAAAAATTTGGTTGTTGATTCTCCTTTACCAGTAAGAAGCAAATATGACAGTTATGTCAAGTGACACTCATCTGTAGTTTACTTAAATTGGAATGTTTAATTAAAAATCATTA